TACCAGCTGCTCCGCGGGAGAAAGATGAGGCTTTCTACTCCCGTAAAGATTTACACCCTCGGAAACCCTATACAGGGTCGCTATGGGCCGGAACCGACTCGATGGCACATAACAACAACAACAACACGGTTTCCGAGGCTGTAAATCTTTACGGGAGCAGAAAGCCTCATCTTTCTCCCACAGAGTGGCTGGTAGTTTTGAACGGCTGACCTTGAGGTTAGCAGCCCGACTCATAACCACTAGGCTACCAGAGTTCCTTGTACGGTGGAAGGGGGGGAAAAATTACTGAATAGAGGTAAACACTGCTAACTGATGGTACACGGAGTAGAATGCCAAACACTGTAAAGACATGAAGTGTATAGTTTGTTGAATGTAGGACTAATGATCTGTAAACCATTCCACTCACAATATATAAAGTTTAAAAAAAAAAAGCCCATAAATGGACATAAGGAAGCCTGGTGGTGTAGTGGGTTACGTGTTAGGCTGCCAACCACAAGGTCAGCAGTTTGAATCTACCAGCAACTCCACAGGGAAAGATGAGACTTTCTGGTCCCATGAGGATTTACGTCCTCACTGTAACATCTCAAAGACATGTAGCAACTACAAAAGAGCTGCAGTAGTAGTTCAATGGTAAAAATACTCTCCTTCTTTGAGGGAGACCTGGGTTCAATTCCTGGCTACACCATTGTGTTAGTGAAGGCTTTGCTGTTGCTGATACTGAATAGGTGTCAGCAGTGCTTCCAGGCTAAAACAGGCTAAGAAAGACCTGCAGATATACTTCTGAACAGTAATAAAAAAATCACCCAGTAAAAAATAATATGGGTTACATTGGTGAGATCCCATTGTGCATGGGCTCCCCAAATCCAGACCAACTCAAGATCAACTAACATAAAGCACCATATTGCCCTCAAAGACAAACCCATTGATATCGTGCTGATTTTGATTCAGTAACACTACAGACAGAATAGAACTGTCCTATCCGGTTTCCAAAGTTGTAAATCTCTACAGAAGTGGACTGCCAGATCTTTCTCCTGTAGATCACCTGGTGGGTTCGAACCACCAACCTTTCAGTTCAGTTATCAGTCAAGTTCTTAAACTACTGTGCCACCAGGACTCCTCAAAGGGGTATCAAACCCAAACCAAACCTACTGCTATTGAGTTGCTTCTGAGTGAGAGTGACCCTATACATGGTTTCTGAGACTATAAATCTTCACAGGAGCAGGCAGCTTCATCTTTCTCCTTTGGAGAGGCTGGTTGGTTTGAACCACCATCCTTGAAGTTAGCAGCCCACCACATACTTTAAGTCGTTTTTGACTTAAAGTGACCCTGTTTATGGTTTCAGAGACTATATTCTTTATGGGAGTCCTGGTGTAGTACTGTAGGATAAGCACTGGACTGCTAACCACAGTCAGCAGTTCAAATGGGCATGGTGGTGGTGATGGCTGTGTGCCCTCAAATCAGTTCTAACTCAGAGGGGCCCTATATAGGGATTCCAAGGCTATACATCTTTACAGAGCAGAAAGCCTCATCTTTCTCCCTCAGAGCATCTGGTATACTATAACTGATGATCCTGTGGTAAGCATCCCAATAGGTAACCCACTATACCACCAGGGCTCCTTTCAATGGTACACGGGAAACAACTAATTCCACTTTTAAGTTTGACTTTACAATATAACAGATTTTTAAGGAGAAACGCAAACAGTTGCGCAGAGAGAAATAACCACATAATCAATTGCACTTTAAATGTTTGATGGGCTGGCAAACAGTAAACTGTTTTGAACATGGACTGCCCAGATGGTGTGGGCGGGGAATGATAACGGAAAAGGGTAGGCTGGATTTTATGGGTCTTTTTGATGGGTGCACTGTAAAACTGTAAAAAAGAACTGCAACATTATTCTGTACAAAGTGTAGACCCATTAGAAAAAAAAATTAAGTAACCCGAGTATTAATAAATTAAGTCGCCCACTCTTGCAGGTAGAGACACTGACAAATATAACCATTTAAAGCTAAAGTGAAAGAATCCTGAAAACCAACAGAAAGCAAACTATTATGAACACAATGGCCTAAATACTGAAATTATAAAAATGAAAATATTTGAGTTGAAAAGCACTTGAAGAATTACTAATATAAAACACAATTTTACAAGTGTTTTATGACACCGACAGATGGAGACCAAGGTTACAAAGTAATCTGATGAATTAAAGTCTTCTACAATCAAGAAATAAGGAACTCTTCCAACTCAGTCTACTTGGAGCTCAGTTCCATTTTACAGTATGGGCAAAGAAATACTTGCAACTAACCAATGTTTTCATGGGCCTCTGGCCATCATGGATCTATCATATACATTGAAAATTAATAGGCAGGCAGTTTATGGGGATACTATGGAGGAAGAACAGGGATGTGGATAAGAGCAAACAGGGAAGTAGTAGTTTGGAGAGAAGTTTACAAAGACAAGGCAGGAAGTAAAAGCCCAGGTCGTCCCCCACTGCTATCTCGCTCTCCAGGCCTCATTCCTGTCACTTTCTCTGTTTTAGCCACCCAGTCCACAGTGCAAAAGGGCCACTCCAACCCTCCAGTGAAAATCAGTTGTGGGTTAAAATTAGCACCCTCTTACCCAGACATACAAACAGCACGGACTTGGGAACCTGCTCTGCCATCTTCGCGAACTGAGACGTACAAATTGACCGGAATCACTAGCCGGAACCTGCTCGCACTGCGGCGCATGTGTATTAAGAGTGTCCGGCTCCCGCGCGCCGGCGCAGTTCTGATTCTAGCTCCGCCCCCGGGCGAGCGGGCGACGATCACGTGATCGACAGCGCTCCCAGGGCGCGAGTCACCTGAACAGACAGTGGTCAAGGTGCTCCACCTGCTTCTACCGCTCGCAAATGTTGTCACCTGGTCTATTTGACACATCCAAAACCTTTAGTGGTGCTGCAGTGATATTATTTAATCCCATCGTGTAGATTCGTGCTCGTAGAGACCCTATAAATCTTCCGAGAGCGGCGGGTGTGTTTCAGCCGCAGAACTTGCGGTTATAACTCCAGGATTCATGGAATGCAGTGTATTATTATTAAATACCTTCGAGACGATTTCGACTCAACGACCCTATATAGGGCTCCTGAGGAGTAGCTAGTGGATTTGAACCACCAACCTTGTAATTAGCAGCCCAGTGCTTATCCTACAGAGCCACACCAGGAGTCCGTAATGCAGTGTATTGTAGCTTGTTGTTAAATTCCGTCGAATCGGTTCCTACTCATAGCAACCCTTTATAGGGTTTCCGAGGAACGGCTGGTGACTTTGATCCGACCCTGCGTTCAAATCTTGGGGTTCAGCGATTATCCTATAGCACCACTCTTAGGACACCTAATACAGTGTGTGTTGGGTGCCGTTGAGTGGGTTCCGACGAACCTGTGTAGGGTTTCTGAGGAGCGGCTGGTGAGTTTGAACCTCCCACCTTGCGGTTCAAACCGACCCTGCAGCCCAGTGCTTATCCTACAACGCCAGGGAATAATTCCCCTGTGAGCGCTTCGGATGCGAAGCCAAGGGCTGGGCGAGATGGCGATAAAACTGCTTACCTTAGCTTGAAATACTATAGGAATTGACGACCCGAGTCTGAAAACTAGAGGTGTGGGGAGGCCTAGGACATGGCTCCTGAGGGCAAGCAGAGTTTGAGGGGGATCAGCAATTCAGAGGATGCAAAGAACCGGAAGATTGGTGATGTCTCACTATTGAGACCACTCGCCGGTTCTCAGCTTCCAAGGAGCCAAGGGAACTAAAACCTCTCTGCGATTTCTAAATGAAGGCAACCTTAGGTAAAGCCAGCTCAGACGTGGGAATCGGCAGTTGTCCCAGAAGACGCGGTGCCGCCTCTGAGCACGCTTGGGACCCCAAACTTCAACACCCTGTAGGGCAGCCACCTCTACCACTCCGCACGTAGTGTACTGACATAACTGTCGCAAACAACCACAGAAGTTGAGCACCTTCCGGCATTGTAACAGGGACCGTCTGTGTTGGTTTCTCCCAATTTAAAAAATACATATATCGGATTTCTTTTTAAAAGTCTCTTTGAGACTAATTTAGCAGAGCTGAGGCTTCACCCTAGTTGCTAGCCCCAACGTTTTGTTATTTGTATTTTTTAAAGTAGGTGTTCTACACTGAACAATAGAGGGACGTTTACCTTTTCCTTTACCTGTCTTAGGTGTGTTGCTTATAGTGCCCTTCCCTACTTTTGGGAGGCGGAGGCGGAGCCAAGTAAAGAGTAGCTCTTCCTCTTCCTTTGTAGTTGTTTGGGAGCTGGAGGGGCACCCGAAGTGAACAAGGCTCTGAGGGCACAAGTGAGTACAAATATTTGCTTTTGCTGGGCTTGAATCCTCGCTTGAATTGGGACAGGACTTACTGTTTTCTTTGTGACACTCGCTTCCCTTCCCTTTAAAGAGAAAACTTTTTGCTGGGACGGTAGATCATTGGTAAAAGGACAAGAAAAAAGGTGGTGTCTCTAGGATTTACTGTTGTGTTATGAACACTTCAAACGAAAGCTTTCCTCAAACTGTCAAAATTGAAGATTACATAGTTCGCAGTACTGTGTTAGCCGTAATGGTTTAATTTCTTTTTTTTTCAAGTGTAACCACATTCGTTTCAATTCATTCTTCCTAAATTCTGAATTTTACCAATTGCAATTAATTTTGTTATTTGTAAATATCTAAAATTTGAAATGCCATGTCTCCTGATTCTAATTGTTTTAACAAATGGCATTCTCAAAACTTTGGTATAATGTTACAGGTTTGGTGTGTGTTAAAAAGATTATTTATTGTTGTCAAGTGCTGTCGAGTCGGTTCCGACCCATGGCGACCCTGTTGCTCTAATGCCAGTAAGATATCTGTTTGGGTCCCAGACCACCATCCCTACCAACTCCCTCTTCGTTCTCACCCTGCCCCTCCACCTAAGTGAAAAGTGGTAGACCATCCACACACTTTCTCTTGAACCTCCTTGTGGCCATCTGAGCGCGTTTGCTAAACATTTTGGGAGAAAGAGGTCACTGGGTGGAGTAAAGCATGCTGTTTGAGCTGCCTTTTTTTTTTTTTTTTTTTACCCAAACTCAAGGCAATTATTTTGGTGTTGTGTGCTCCTTTATCTTTGTGGATCTCATTGGTGTAATATTTTATCGGAATTACCCCATAACCGTACTGAAAAGGGATTTATACTGCTGGCTGAACAGGTCCCATTTTCACTATGTTTCATCAAACATTTCATTGTCTACTCCTACTGAGTTCCCCTAGGGAATTTAGGAGTCTGATTGACAAAGAATGTTCTGGGAGATAAATTTTCAAGGTTTGTCTTCATATAGAATGTGCATCCTGTATTCTTCTTCTCATAGGTGCTTTTATTGAGATGTGGGGAACTTCCTGAATTAATAATGAGCTAGTCCCAAAATGTATGTACATACAGATTAGAGCAATCATAGGTCTCTAGTTTGAAGTGCTATTTACCTTGCTGAGCTTTTATAGGAATACTTGTGGAGTGACTAATGTTAAGGTATTTACAAATTACTGTGTTCAAGGTTAGAAAAATCAAAATAAATTCTATCTTCCATCCTGTTTATCATGTTTAAACTGTTTAAGGAGAATTGGTTATTTGGCTCACTAGTATTGTGTTTAAATATGTTTACTCAAATTTTTTGTAGAATTAAAAATAGTACGTTCTAAAGACGCCTTGCTCATAAAAAGTCATTTGCCATTTTTATTCTGTTTAGGAAATCTTTATTCTCAGGAGATTTTTCACTATTTGGAAATAAGGATTTAGTGTTTTTAAATAAAAGAAAGTTGATACAGGCCAAAAGGAAACATTATTTGCTCTGTTGACTCCTTTTACCCAGTAAAGTCAGAGAGGTCACTGTATACATTGTCTTATATGCAGATGGAATCTTGATAAGACAATCCCTGCCATTTAAAAACCTTGCTGATGTTGTTAAATACCCTCAAGTGGATTCTGACTCATTGTGACCCTGTATAAGGTTTCCAAGAAGCAGCTGGTGAATTTGAACTGCCGACCTTGTGGTTCAAACTGACTTAGGGTCGAGTGCTTATCCTACAATGCCACACCAGGACTCTACCATTTAAGAACTAAACACATTGAACAATTTATTGTCTTTGGGAAGACTCAATTTTTAACATCACATACTAAGACCTCAGTGGAATGTATTGTCTTGCTTTAAGCCAAGCTCATAGTTCAATTTCAATTTCACATCCTCTTCTTAATTAACTGTGTAACCAGAGCATGTTCTCTCTGAGAGTCAGCTTCCTCATCTATTGTGGTTGTTAAGTGCCTTGAGTCAATTCCTACTAATAGGGACCCTTTGCTGGAGCAGATATCATCATCTTTCTCTGTGGAGGAGCTTATGGTTCAAAGTCTGTGCTCCTTTCCTCATGTGTAAATTGGTTTAATAGCACATTAAATACGATTGTTTTGAAGATCAAATGAGAATGTGCATAAAACACCTCCAACAGTGCTGGCCATATAGTAAGTAGGCAATCAACAACCCCCCCCCTCCTTTTTATGTAAATTTAGATGAATAGGGAACAAAGTTTTCTTTTAATAGATTTATATGATTATTTTACCAGTGTCTTGACCATAGTTTTTTGTTTGCTTTTTTAGTTTTAGTTTGCTTCATCCCTCACTGTCCATAAATAGTTTTTCTAAAGCTACATTTTCCAGTAGCTTTGGTTTCCCTTCTTGTTTAGCTCAGAGTAAAGGTGAGATTAGATGGTGGTCAGATTATGTCACATTTTTAAGCTGCCTAAAATACAAACCATTGAAATTGTACTTCTTTAAAATTACCAGATAGTGGGGTATTTCTGAACCCCAGAAATGAGGGCAAAGTGAGAGGTTTATTTGAGAGCTGTTGACGTGACTCATAGTGAACCTTTTGGGTTTCCAAGGAGAGGCTGGTGGGTTTGAACCACTGACCTTACAGTTAAGAGTCCAGTGCTTATCCTACAGCACCACACCAGGACTCCGACAGATGTGTTGGGTACACTTTTTTAAATTAATGAGCATATATTTGTATTTTCATATGAGATCAAATTATTTTTTAAAACGTCCACTATTAATTGTGCTCACTAGAGGGATGTTAACAGCTCACTTAAAATACGTAATTGTGGTTTGCTTAGATATTTTTAATGAACCTAAATTTCAAGTGTTTTTTGTAAATATCAAAATGTAAAGAGGTTATCATCTAATACCTATACATACGGAGTGAATTTAGTCTGGTTTCAGCACAGGTCATTCAAATTTAAATTGAACTAGGTCCCTGAAGAACAAAATAATAGAATTTAAAATTGCTTGTCTTTACTCAGATGGTAAAAGTAGGCTATTATTTTATTTCCATATGCATCTCATTAAAAAAAAGTCCAAACCCATATCTAAAGACATTAGTAACAATAGTATTAGGCTGTAGCTGTAGTTATTCACATGTACCATATTGACTGTAGTACCTGTCCTCTTGGTTCATCAGTCCCATAATCTAGGTTTCCTTATGTGATATCATTCAACTTCCGGCTAATATGTATTAGAACATGACTGTGACTTTGAAATAGTAAAAACCAAAAGTGTACATGTTGTTGTTAAATGCCCCTGAGTCCTGTCCAACTCATAGCAATCCTATACAGAGTTTCCATGGAGCAACTGAAGGATTTGAGCTGCCAATCTTGCTGTAAGCAGTCCAGTGCTTACCCTACAGTGCCACATATAACCCCTTTAAAATGTGTCATTTTACTTTTCAAAGCTTTATCAATAAATTAGCAGTACATTCAATGGCTTAGGAAGGATCTTTAATTTCTTATTGAATTTAATAGCACCTTATTGTTGTTGAGTGCTGTCAGATCTACTCAAAGTGAATTTATGTGACAGAGAAGAACTGACATCTTTACCATGACATACCACTAGGTCTTTCTTCCACGTTCAAACCATTAACCTTTCTGTAAGCAGCCCATTGCTTACCTGTTTGTACCACTAGGGCTCCTTTAAACCCCAAAACCAAACTCACCGCCACTGAGTTGATTCTAACTCGTAGTGACTTTATATAAGCATTCTAAGACTGTAATTTTTTATGGAACAGAAGACCTCATCTTTCTCTCAGGGAACAACCTGGTGGGTTTAACCCAACAATCTTGCTTTTAGCACCACAATGCCTAACACCTAACCCACAGTTATTGTTGTTGTTAAGTGCCATGGAGTTATTCCTTGGTATTGTTGTTGCTAAGGACCATCAAGTCAGTTCGTACTCATAGCTACCCTGTATAGGATTTCCAAGGAGCGGCTGGTGGGTTTGAATCATTGACCTTGCAATTAGCAGTCTAGTGCTTATCCTACAGCTGTCACCAGGACTTCATTGTGGCAGTTACAAATCTGTGTATCATGTATCTTCTTATGCTGAATGTTAAGTTTCTCATCATATCCTACTCTTTATATAATATTACTCAACCTGGAACTGAGGAATATGGAAAAAAGCACAGACCCATTAATATTTTGGATTCATATGTTAAGTCTTGCCTTTGGTATGGATTACATCTCAATATAAAGAAAACAAAAATCCTCACCACTGGACCAATAAACAACATTCTTATCAATGGAGAAAAGATTGAAGTTGTCAAGGACTTCATTCTTCTT